GGAGGCTTAGTCCCCCACTTGCCCCAAGCAGGGAGCAAGCAGTGGCAGCCGGGGTGGGCAGATCCTAGATGTGGTCCCCTGGGGGCAGAGGGGGAAATAACCCCTCTGCCTCAGGGGGCCATGCCCAGTCCCACCACTGCAGCTGCAAGGGGGAGCGCCTGGCAGACCCCAGCTTGGGTCCCTGCTGGTGGGACAGGAAGGGGGGAATTAAACCTCTTTGTGGCCAGTTCAGTCCAGGCTACTGTTGGGGCTGACCACACCCCTGCCCCCCAGCGCAGCTTCCCTGCAGCTGAGGGTATGCTAGAGCACCCCCTGACACCTGGCCTGAGCAACTGAAGGCATGTGCCTACATTTCCTCAGTCCAGAAGGTATGTCTGTACACTTGCAAATCGCTTCAACCTAGGCAGGTTAGACTAACCTGCAAAGACTGAATCAAATCAGTCTCCAGCTTTTTTAATATCAGTCAGATGTCAGGCAGATTGTAATGTGTCATAAATCCAACGTCTATATTAAGTCCATGATTTTTTGTATCCAGCAGATTTATGAAGTGAAGTTCATAGGCTCATCTACAAAAGGTGTTTTGTTAGTTCCCTTTGAGGATTAGAACTGAGAGATCAGAGAGGGGAGTGGTTGTCTTGTGAGAAGTGTGCACCCACAGGTAATTGGATATTTTTGTCTTTGATGGATTTTCAGTGTGCATTCTTTCTGGTACACAGTTGTTGTTGTTGTTTGGTTTCTCCTACATATTTTCTATCAGGATATTTGGTGCCCTGGATGAGATGTATTACATTTCTGGAAGTGCAGGTGTAAGATCCAAGAATGGGGATGGTTCTGCTTTGGGGTGTGGTTATTGTGTGAGTGGTGGAGGTGTGTCGGCAGGTTTTACATTTCTTGTCCTGCCCTGGTCTAGATCCATTTGATGTTGTTTTGGGTCATAGGGAGTTTGCTTCTGGTGATGAGGTTCGGTGCTTGTTTAAAGGATGGGTGGTTCTGAAAAGATTTCTTTAGGAATTGGGTCTTCTAGTATGGGTTGCAATTGAAAAATAACTTGTTTAATCCAGGTGTGAGTAGTGCAAGATATGATATGAGATATAACAGGAGTATCATAAGTCATCTCTACAGGGGGCTCAAATGGCAATTAACTACGATTGTTCTGAGGTAGTGTTAATTTGGATACTTCACAAGTACTTAAAGTGGAACAATGAGCTTGTCCTTCTGTAAGGTCTGGGGTTTGCTGAGAGAAGATGCACAAACACAAATCAAATCCATCTATTCTTAAATCTTTTTTTTTTTTTTTTTTGGCATAGTAAGTGTCAAATAGCCTGCCCTGTCTGTCATTGAGTAAGCTACTTTGTATCTAAGCTGGGGTAAGAGAGAACATGGGGATTGTTTCTGTGGAGCAGCTGCTACTCTGTAAATTTGCAAACTAATTTAGCCTGGTGCATTTTACTTATACAGGCAGAACTTCCAAAGAGGACAAAAAAAATGTTTGGCTCTTGAGCTATTTCTACCTAGAGTATTTTATTCTGATTTTTAGCTGCATCAGTGAAAACCTCCAGCATATATGAGGTCAGCAGCAGGGGTGTGCAAGGCTTCGGTCGCTGATTCTATTTGGCCCGATTCAGTGAATCAAATCAGGAGACCCTTTAATCTCTCTGAAGTTGAATCAGAACTTTCTGAATCAATTCGGAGAGATTCAGAAAGATTTGGTGATTTGGACATGGACACGGCTTTAAATGTTTTTTTTCCTACATACTTGTAGAAAAACAACAATCGAAGGTACCAGGCAGCTTATAAATGCTGTAATGCTGGGGCAGATGGAGCCTCCCACTGGAGTGTGAGGGGGCCCCAGGGCACTCAGCAGCAGACCCAGAAGCACTTCAGGTCTGCTGGGGAGCATGCTGCTCGCCCACCCCAACACGCACACGCGTGCGAACGCACACACCCCCCCTGACTCGGCAGCTGGTGCCTCCTGGGTCTGGGGAGGCACCTGGGGTCCCCCCGTGGCCAATCGCCAGCACGGGGAGTGGGGGGGCCCACTTGCTCCCCGGCGGACCCAGAAGCAGACCAGAAATACTTCCAGTCCACTTCTCGATTTGCCACCGAGCACTCAGGACTGTCCTCCCCCGTCCACACTCCTGTGGGACACTCCATCCGCCCCAGCATCACAGCATTCTCTGAATCAGCATCAAATCTTCAGATTCAGCCGAATCAAATCGGGGACGGTGATCCAAATCAACAAATCGAATCACTGTCCCTGATTCAGGCCAAATCTGAATTGAATGGGGCCTGTTTCGCACACCCCTGTGCAGCAGCTATAAACTGTGATTTGCTTGTACAGCTTAATCCCTGTCTCAAAGAAAAATAAGATGCACCAATGCAAACTTTGGCTTGGTCTGTATCAGTGCTTTGCTTCAGTGCTGTTACATCCATAGCTACAACCCCAGTTGCTCTGCCCTGTGACTTCTGAAGCTTTTCTGCCTATTGCCTGGGGAAGAATGTGTGCTTGAAAACAGTTAGAGGCAGCCAGTTTTCTGCTTCTAAAGTCCTTCTCATCTCTTCAAGACCTAATGGCAAATTATTCCCCTTTTACAAACAAAGAATATTGAGTTCAGATTAAGAATAAACCACAAACAAAATCGGCATCTAAACTAGCATTTATAACACTTATCAAATGATGAATTCTCATTTTTTAAAAGTGTCAGAGAGACACAAGCAAATTGATACATTGTCATTTGTGGATTTGGGGGACACACAAATATTTAATAGGTCACATTAGAAAGAAAACATGGGTCCCTTTCTATTTTTTAAATGAGACTTTAAATTTTATAGCACAAGGCTGTGGAATTACACTTGGTTTATGTGAAGCTACTGTTTTAATCATGAATGTAGCTAGAAATAAGGCCTGGCAGCAGAGTGGCTGGGTTTGGATGCACTATGCATTCCACAGGACCTTATAGACAGCTTTGGCCATTAGATGCTATTAGATTCTTGGCCATGAGGAGTAGGCTTCCACCTGGATTGTCACTCTGAACAGGTGGAATGAATTTACTTGTAGTTTTTTCACCCAGATGGTGACATTAAGGGAGGGAGAGGGGTGCCATGGGCAATAATGCACTTATCACCCAGGATGATGTGTGAACAGCCTCCTAAACTAACTGGATGCATGCTTTATGCCTTGCAGTTGGTGCAATTTTATACATGATGGATCAATCTTTTCAGGCACAAACTTGACCACCAATTTTCCAGCACTGCTATAGAAGCTCACCTGGTGGGGAGGGACCATACACAAGCATAGATTTACATTTTTATAACAGTCAGCTTTGCCTTATCTGAGCTTCCATATTTATGCTGGGAACTTGCAGGCACAAACAGTTGTGGGGATATCTTTGTGCCTGCTAGAATTGGACACAGAATACCATATCATAAATCCCATATCTGTGAAAGGTAGACTGTTGGTTAGGAAAACTTGCTTTTTAAGGCTTTGAATTATAGGAGCTGAAGGGCATCCCCACCAATAATACATCTTAAGAAGCCAAACAAAATTATTTGCAAGCTTTCTTCCCTCTCATCCCCTGCTGAATGCAACTCCCATCCTGAGCTCTCTAAGGGCAAGACCTTGTATCAAGTCCAGTCTAGAATTAATTTGTATCATCAAGAAATACTACCTGAAAACCTGGGTGAAAAATGAAAGTGCTGACAGACCTCTATGTGACTTCATAGACATTAGGGCTGGAAGGGACCTCCAAAGATCATTGAGTCCAGCCCCCCGCCCCAGGGGCAGGAAGTCAGCAGGGATCATAGGATCCCAGCAAGATAAACATCCAGATGTTTTTTGAAGGCATTCAGAGTAGGTGCTTGAACCACCTCCGGCGGCAGTCTATTCCAAACCTTGGAGGCTCGGACAGTATGGAATAGATGGCCGCCGAAGGTAATCCTAGCTACCAGTGCTGTAGTAAGTTCTATTGTGGTTTCCATTTCTTCCGAGGCTCGAGCTGTGTCCATTTTGAGTGTCCATCACAAAGCTGGCAGGATGATATTTAACAGAATGAAAAGGGCTTCCCTGTATGCTCTTCTTTTGATTTTCTTTTCACCTCAGACCTGGGTTCTTAATGTAGGAGTAAACATTAGTTAAGTGGCTGATCAGGAGCCAAAAGCTATGTGGGAAGATTCTCCATTGGTATAAATTAGCTATATCAATTTGCATCAAATAAAAAGAAGAGGTTGGTGTATGGAAAAAACTGCACAACTCTTTTCCTAAAGTAAAGTAGTATTTCAGAAGTAGGCCTATGCAATTCCCTGTTAGAAGTCTCTTGCCTGAGGCATTAAAACAGTAGGAGTCCTAATATAAACAGCTGCTGAATTTCCTTCCTCCATCAAAAACTTGAATACCTAAGGAGGGCATTGGACACCAGCCCTGATAGCTGATAGTGTTTGAAAGTTTAAGTTTTAATCCTGCTGTTCGTTGGCCTTTTATACCTGATGCAACTCTACTGAAGTCAGTCAAATGTAGCTAAAAGCAGAATGTGGTCCATGACTACTACTCTGTCTACTTCTGTTGTTGGTGAAGGATGCTGGACTGTAAGCTGGAGACAGTAAGCTTGTGTTTGTGCAGGAATGATGACAGGGCAAGCTCAGGTACAAAAGTCCTACCTCACCCTCTGTACTCAAAGCACCACTTCTGTTGTTCTTTACTGTGTTAGTCATTGGCCTATCTGCTAAGTTTGTCAACAGCAGCAAAACTGGTATAGCCACTTATCTGCTAAGAATGCCCACCAGGCACAAACCCCACCAGGATACACTACTGTGATTTTGCTCCTTACTCACATGGTCGTTGGTGCAAATCAGGCCCATGATAAAATGTAAAATCTAGGTCAGTTCCCTTATAGCTATGTGCTCATCTAGTAAATGGCTGTTATCTAATTGCCACCTTTCACATTGTGCGTGCTTGCTTGCTTGATTTTTTTGGTTGTGGTTTTGTTTCCCCTTCCCCTATTCAGACCGGTGGATCCTCCCAAACAGAAACGGTCTCTGATGAAAACAAGAGTCTGATGTGGATTCTGCTGAAGCAGCTGCGCCCTGGCATGGACTTATCCCGAGTGGTTTTGCCTACCTTCATCCTGGAACCACGATCTTTCCTCAACAAACTTTCTGATTACTACTACCATGCTGACCTACTTTCCCAGTAAGCAGCACTTTCAGCAGCTGCATGAACACATGTGAAAGTATTAGGCTGGGTGTGCCTGAGACATTTGTATGCTGGTGAAGTCTCCTTAATACACAAGTCTCTAGTTTGATTTGTAAATCATGTCAAGCATCAGCTCCTGTGACCTTTTAGAGCGAGACGGTTCCCAGTGGAAAATGGCAGATGTGGAGAAAGCAAAGAAAATGGGAATGCACTAGATGCTGCTCTCAGAGCCCACCCCTCCAGCATTGGCTAGAATGGATCAAAAAGCTGATAGTCTGTATGGCTGCTAGTAACAATATTACTCCACCTTCTGGTGTACTGATGTAAAAGAAGGCATAGGAAAAAAGCCCTTACAGGAGAATAAGCTGCAGCAGAGTTGCCAACTGAAAACAGTATCAGGGTTGACTGTGGAGTTGCATGTTAATTCCTATGGGTAGAGGCACCCTATTTGCAGAGATAGTAGAACATATTTAATAGGGCTGTGCGAAGCTTTGGTTGCTGATTCGAGTCAGTGGAGATTCAACCTAATTTGGCAGCCAAATCTCCGAATCCAAATCGAATCAGGAGATGCTTTAATCTCTCTGAATCGAATCGGAGCCCTCCGAATCTATTTGGAGAGATTCAGAAAGATTTGATGATTCGGACATAGACATAGCTTTAAATGTTTTTTCTACATACCTCAAGGTAGCAGGTGGCTCGTGAATGCTGCGATGCTGGGGCAGATGGAGTGTCCTACAGGAACGCGGGGGTGTCCCCAGCACACTTGGCAGCGGACCCGGAAGTGAACCAGAAGCACTTCTGCTCCACTGGGGAGCACACGGCCACCCCCCCGTGCTTCTGTGGGATGCTTCATCCACCCCAGCATTGCAGCATTCATGAGCCATGCCTGGTACCTTGAGGTACGTAGAAAAAACATTTAAAGCTGTGCCTATGGCCGAATCACTGATTCTCTGAATCGGCATTGAATCTTCAGATTCGGATTTGGCCGAATCAAACAGGGGCAGTGATCCAAATCAACTAATCAAATCACTGTCCCTGATTCAGGTTGAATCTGAATTGAATACGGCCCATTTCGCACACCCTTAATATTTAATATTTGCTTAAAAGTATGGGCTGAACTTCCTAATATGCTGGGGTTTTTTAAATCTTAAAAAGTATGGTATTTTATATATCACGTGAGTAGGTCACATTATTCCACTGCTTTCCCAGTGCACTTTCAAGCTTGCCTGTTGGGCACAGTTTCACTGTTTATAAATGTGGAACTGACTCTCTTCGGCCTGAGGAGGCTTGAGATTATCCTCAGAAAATGCTTTATGAGGTCCAGAGGCTCCTAACTGTATGTAAGAACCCCCATCTCAAGAGATCTCCAGTTTTGTATGAGGTTGGGAATATAGAATAGTAGAAGATGAGGGTTGGAAGGGACCTCAGGAAGTCTAGTCCAACCCCCTGCTCAAAGTAGGACCATCCCCACTAGATCATCGCAGCCAAGACTTTGTCTAGTTAAGTTTTAAAAACCTCCCAGGATGGAGATTCCACAACCTCTCTAGGTAGCCTGTTCCAGTGCTTTAATATCCTCCTTATGAGAGAGTGTTTCTTTCTTAATATGTAACCTAAACTTCCCTTGCCATGAGTGACTGGTGCCTCCTGAATCTGGGGAGGCACCCACAGAAGCCGCCGACAGCGGAGGTCCTGTCGGGGGCACCAGCCCTACCGACAGCATCAGTGTTGGCCATTGCAGGGGCACTGGCCCTGTCAGGGGGGGAACATGCACCCCTGTGCACCCCCTAACAGTCGCCTATGTCCCTTGCTGTGATTTGAGGCCATTGCTCCTTGTTCTGTCATTTGCCACCACTGAGAACAGTCTAGCTTCATCCTCTTTGGAAAACACCCTTCAGGTATTTGAAGGCTGCTATGATGATGATGAACGCTTGCTTCTGCTCTATCTGAAGCTAGGAAGACTTAGAGGGCTCAGGAAAAAGTTAATGCTTGATTTCCCATAAAAATGCAAGATGGGTTGGATTTTTTTGTTTGTTTGGGTTTTTTGGGTGGGATAACTTAACTCAATTTTGCAGTTGAGAATGCAAAATTCTAGGTCCACTGACATCCCTAATGCAAGAGTTTTAGGATAGTGTCTCTCATTTTTGCCTTTGGATTTTTACAGGGGCCTTGACAGCTAGTCAGGCCTTGGGAATCCCACTGCTTGGGTGTGTGTGTGGGGGAGGTGGGGATGTATGCATGGGCATACACATGTGGTACATGCACCACTGAGAACTGTTTCCTCTGGGAAAGGGACCTTTACTTTTCACTAGAAGCTGCAGAGCAAGACAGGACATGACTCACCAGTCTAATTTTATGCTGGTCTCTCACCACTGAAATCAATAGTATTATTATAGTGCAGTGGTGCTCACCCTTTTGGCCATGTAAATGCTAGATGAGTGTCACAGGGCCCCATCTATGGCCCAGATTGGGCCCTGGGGCCCAGCATTTCGCCCTTGCTGCCCTACATGTTGCTGCCCTACCTGTTCAGCCTTCACAAGAGAAGGCTGCGGGGGGATCTAGTGGCCATTTACAAACTAGTCAGGGTGGACTAGGGCAGGCATTGTGGGAGTCCCTGTTCCCCCGAGCACTACCAGGAGTGACTAGAAATAATGGTCACAAGCTGGCAGAGAGTAGATTCAGACTAGACATCAGGAGGCGCTACTTCACAGGGCGGCTAGGATCTGGAACCAGCTTCCAAGCGAAGTGGTGCTGGCTCCTACCCTGCGGGTCTTTAAGAGGAGGTTAGACAAACACCTCGCTGAGGTCGTTTGACCCCCGTACTTTTTCCTGCCATGGCAGGGGGTCGGACTTGATGATCTGCTCAGGTCCCTTCCGACCCTACCAACTGTGAAACTATGAAACATGCCAGGATTGGGTTCTGGGGGAACAGCACCACTTCCTCCTGCCCCCGCCTGCTGGGATTGGGCCCAGTGGTGCCCCCACCTGACCCTGTATTCTGGGATCGGGCACTGGATCCAGCGTACAGGGCTTGGGGTTCCCCATGGGTCCTGAGGTTAAGTGGCAATGATGTATTGGTACCATTCCCCACTGCCAAATCTCTGAACACATAGGGAGCCCTGCAGACCGGATGACACAGCTCTGCGGGCCAGATCTGGCCCACAAGGTGGAGACTGAGCACCCCTGCCCCAGTGTAAAACTGAAGTAATACTCTAAATCAGCCCTATCAGAAAAACGAAAATCATTTTGAGTAATTATCCCATCTCCCTTTTCCACAGAGCTGTGCTTGAAGATGATGCCTACAGTCGAATCAAGCAGGTTCTGAGATGGTATTTGTCAGGCTTCTATAAGAAGCCAAAGGTAAGAGATTTCATATTCCTGTGGATATGAGAAATGTTCACACCTATTGCTATAGCTTTTGTATGTATTCTGTTGTTACAAAGTGTTTTGTTCCTCTTGTGAAATACTTAACCAGCAACTGGCTCACTTGTGCTGGACACACAGGAGGCGTCGAGCCAGTCATGTGGCAAATAGAATAAATATGCAATTATTTGGGAAGCTATTTCCGTATGGTACTATGTCAGTGCATTCTGTACCTGAATGAACCTGCTCTGGGTGGTGGCAATAAGAAAGCTTGACTCCCTTACAAGGCTTTTATCAGTAGAATATAATGATCAGTGACGCAGCAGGTCAGACCATGGATCAGGCGGAGGTAGTTAGAGCAAGGCAGTGAGTCACATATTAGTCACTGACTCTGCCTTGCTATAAAGTCTTGAGGAAAGTTACTGTCTCCCTATTTGTAAAAGAAGCTAATTGCTACAAATGAAAGCCAGTTTGACTGTTGGGGTCATATCCTCCCCCAGAATATTACCAAAGCTGTTTGGTGTATGAGTGCTGTGGGGGTGTGACTGTTTAAAAATAATGTAAATGTCTTTTATATTTTGCAGGGAATAAAAAAGCCATATAATCCCATTTTGGGAGAGACATTTCGCTGCTGTTGGTTTCACCCACAGACCAACAGTCACACGTTTTACATAGCAGAACAGGTAAGTGGCTTTATTTGGAGTCCAAGCCTTTTGAAGCACTGGAGCAATTAAACCTTACTCCTTTTTAGTACAAGAAACCAGTTCATATGCTCACATATCTACAGTAGGCGATGTCTACAAACTAGTCATGGTGCGTGAGGTTTTTTCCCTGTGCTTTATCCTGCCTATCATAGCCTACTATTTTGCTATAACAGGACTTCTTTGGAGTCCTTCAAGGATAAAATCATTCCATGCTATTTGTTAAATGATGAGCAGTACTGAAAAAAGATCTTTAGCAGGGACCTACAGCATGGCACCCAGATCTCAGCAATGCAAGCAGTAGATTCCTGACCCACAACACTAACCTGTTAGCAGGTTTTTAAAAAACTTCTCTCCTCAGAACTCTGCCCCATCACTTGCTTATTGTAATGAAGTATTCACAGATGCTAGGGTTGGAAGGGACCTCAACAGATCATACAGTTCGACCCCCTGCATAGGCAGGGAAGAGTGCTGGGTTCAGATGAACCCAGCTAGATGCCTATCTAACCTCCTCTTGAAGACCCCCAGGGTAGGGGAGAGCACCACCTCCCTTGGGAGCCCGTTCCAGACCTTGGCCACTTTAACTGTGAAGAAGTTCTTCCTAATGTCCAGTCTAAATCTGCTCTCTGCTAGCTTGTGGTCATTATTTCTTGTAACCCCCGGGGGCGCCTTGGTGACTAAAACCTCACCAATTCCCTTCTGTGCCCCCGTGATGAACTTATAGGCAGCCACAAGGTCGCCTCTCAACCCTCTCTTGCGGAGGCTGAAGAGGTCCAGGTGCCCCAGTCTCTCCTCATAGGGTTTGGCCTGCAAGCCCTTAACCATACGAGTGGCCCTTCTCTGGACCCTCTCCAGGTTATCCACATCTCTCTTGAAGTGCGGCGCCCAAAATTGAACGCAGTATTCCAACTGTGGTCTGACCAGCGCCCGATAGAGGGGAAGTGTCACCTCCTTGGATCTATTCATCATGCATCTGCTGATGCACAATAAAGTGCCATTAGCTTTTCTGATGGCTTCGTC